TCTGAACACTTCTCTTGATCTCTGAGTCACCAGTGCCGCCCTCTCTCTACTTCTAGCCATGCTCTGCAAAAGGGCAGCAAGATCATCACTTTCGTTCGAAACTCCTTCAGATTGTCTAGGACTGATTTCATGATCACTTTTTCCACCTTCAATATCTGACACTAGGAAATTATCAGCATCAGTTTCTGTGTCTGTCTCCTTGTTCAATGCATCAATATGCTCATCTTCAGTTACATAATCAGAATCAGCATACACAGATTCTGGTCTTGCCTTATGATGTGCATAAAATGGTGCTCCACGTCCGGGTAACATTTGTCTTCGGTCATGTAATCCTGGTCTTCTCATTCGTTCATCATGTACATTTTCTTCTACTTGTTGTTGACCTGGTTGATTTGCCATGGTTGGTTTAGATAAATCTAATGCTCTTTGGCATGTTTTAAGTCTTTCAGCTTCATCAGTTTGATGTCCAATGAACCCTGTCTGAAGTTGTGTAGGTGTTTCATCTTCTTTAATGGGTTTGAAAAACATTTTATTTCCCACATGTGAATTGTCCACTAACATACCAGTCCCATCTGTATTGGTCATTACATCTGTGCTTTTCCGTACAAACTGTTGTTCTTCCTGGTCAACTTGCATTAGTTGGCTAACATTTTCCATGGGTGTACTATCATACTCATCAATGCAAGGCAAATGGTCAGTCTGAGTTCCAAGTTCTGAATATGACGGCCTTCCTTTTATCATCTCTGATACATTTTCCTCTGGAGCTCTATGATGAACAACATCATTTACGTTTAATATTCTTCCACTTTCTTCATCCTCCTCAGTCAACACTCCACTCTCATCATTTACGTTTAATATTTTTTCACTTTCTTCATACCCCTCAGTCAACACTTCACTCTCAGCATACAGTGAACAAGTATTAACACCAACAGAGACTTTGATCTTTGGTACATCATCCGATTTGTCATCATCATTTTCTTTAATGGGTTGAAAAAACATTTTATTTCCCACATGTGAATTGTCCACTGGTGTACCAGTCCTGTCTGTATTGGTCATTGCATCTGTGCTTTTCCATACAAACTGTTGTTCTTTCTGGTCAACTTGTATTAGTTGGCTAACATGTTCCATGGGTGTACTACCATACTTAACATTGCGAGGCACATGGTCAGTCTGAGTTCCAAGCTCTAAATATGACGGTCTTCCATCTATAATTTCTGATACATTCTCCTCTGGAGCTCTATGATGAGCAACATCGTTTACGTTAAATATTCTTTCACTTTCTTCATCCTCCTCAGCCTCCACTCCACTCTCAGCATACAGGGAAAGAGTATTAACACCAACAGAGACTTTGAACTTATGCACATCATCTGATTTGTTATCATCATTTTCTAAGCTATATTCTAACATATTCTTTCTTGACTCATCCAGTTCTGTTGAGATAGGAACAGTATTTATCCCAGTTGACCTTACATGTGATTTCTGTTCTCCTTTAGCATGTTGTTCATCTTTACTTTGCTCAATTTCTTGCAAATTCATCAAGTCACCATTCTCACATTTCTCCTTATTCCACTTTTCTACATCAGTTACAACTGCGGCATCATGAGTGACTGGGTCTGTGTTAATACCAATACTAATTTTCTGCTCAGGTACAGAAAACCCAATATCCAAATTCACTTCATCTAATGACACAGCAGTACGAGATTGCTCTATTAGAGGTCCTTTATATATTCTCTCATCTTCTTCTTTCTCAGAACTGTCATACATACTTCCAGGTTCAATTAATAGAGTTATAGGTGATGTTCCTATGCTTCTGGTTCCGGTAGATTTTTGTTCAGTGTTTGCACCAAATTCAGCTGTGTCTCTCGCAGTTACAGAAGTACAAACATACTCACTAGGTGTTTCAACAAATTCAATTGTCATCGCTTCAATTTGACTCTCATCAATAGTATGTGTCATGGTTGATGCATCAAGTCTTTCACTATAATGTATGGTCATGGGTGATACACTTTCATTTCTAGTCAGCACTGCGACTGTTTCATTATTGATAGGTGATTCATTATCTATATCCAGATCGAATTCAACTAAAGGTGAATAAGGTAGAGATGACTCGGTGTTTGTTGCAACAGTTACCATTAGAGGAACATCTGTATTTATATACCCATCTGTTGTGTCTCTATTCTTGGACACATCATCAGTTAGTAAAGTGGCAGATGACAGGTGAGCAACATCATCTGCACGAGATTCCATACTATGAACATTGCCATGAACAGGAATGAACAAGTCCAGATTTGGTTGAGATTTATTCTCAGTGTGTTCAATGAATGGGTGAAACAAAGTGTCGTCTACTTCCATTTTCATTTCAGTTTGAAGAGGA